ATTAGTTGTTCACGCTTTTAAGACCGTAGTCTCCACTGATACGAGAGACCGCCTCATTTTGCATGCCACCAGAAAAACCGCTCCTAATAAATAAAATTCATATTGAGGCAGGTATATTCAGTTCTCTTTAAAGAGATTCATGGTCATGCATTACTTATGTTCTACTTGGAGAAAAAACAAAGATTAATCTCACTGTAACCTTATGAAACTGGACCCTTGAAGTAATACACTTCCTTAGTTTATTTCTTACTTATTTATTATATTAAAATTAAAATTTCATTTTACTTGTTCACTTGAACATATCAAAAGAAAGACAATACGGATATCATGATAAAATATGAACTTTATGTATTATTTCTTTAAGACCGTGTAAAATTCATTTTGAACAAGTGAAAGTGAAGTGAGGGAGTATCATTAATATGTCACACTATATGACCATAGGCAAGAGGCTTGGGGTTGTGGATAATATATGTAGCATGGATTAAGTATACGAATGTACAAATATTTTAAGACTTATAGGGACATGACATAGGCTTAAAATTTTATACCGTCTAAATTAATAACTAGCAGATTGCGAAAAAGTATTACCCAGAAAAAAATAATAATACAAAAACACATTATAACAAACTGGCAAAGTGACCACTGGACCTTTTTATTGAAACAACAACATCGATCAGGCAGCAATAAAGTCTTATGATTTTGGTTTTAAACTTTTACTCAGTACAGAAGCTCCCAAATCTCTTTTCAATTTGAAATACGTTTGGTGTCAAAAAATGGAAATTCATGTCCAAATAAGAGGACAATACTAATAACATTTTTTAAAAAAACGTATTAAAAGAAACCATGCGTCTAATCGTGTGCCGGCACACCAATACGCACCAGTATATTTGGTGTTTGGGCTTCGCAGTGGACTATCACATTGTACTGTAGTCTGTAGTTGACTTGTATGGCAGAGTTAGGTAAGGTCGAGGGTCATCCGAACTTTTCTCGGTTGAAAATTACAATACTTATATATTGTTAAATTTTTTTATTTTTTTTTATGTATTTATAGTAGATGTTGAACCTTCTTTTGACGTCTTTTATGTATACTTCTTCATATTTTGAACCGTTTGATGAAAATTCTGGTTCTGCATCGACTTCAAATGAAGATGATATGGATAAAATGCATTTTAGTCTTCTTTAAAAGAATGAGATATGAGACAAGACAACAATTGTAATTTAATTAATTGTTCCCAATAGACGATTAATTTTGTTAACTGCACATCATTCATTGGATTAACATAGCACGGACCAAATGTCCAAATTCATTGTTCACGGATGATGACTAGAATTGCTCTATTTGAAAAAGTGCTGCTCCTTTTTATATAGTATTAGCTTTATCTAAGTGCAGACCAAGTTATAGAAGAGGATAAATCAATTAACGTTTCAATCACATTCAGATTTGTTATAGTTTCAATTAGGAGGCAGAGTATGGGCTGTGGGTTCGGCCGAGTTCACCAGCTTTGGTTCAAACATCATATTTGTCTTAAAAAATCATTTAATAGGTATAAAATCATTAATTTATAACTCAATAACTTATGAAGACTAGAATTCAAAATCCATACGTTTCAATTCTTGACTCCACCTTTGGTTTCACTACTCATATCATTTATTTTATAAGACAATTTAAGAAGTTTTGTAAAACCAGAGGGGTTCCCTGAATCTGAATAATTTACACAATATACTTGTTAATTTCTCATAGTGATTGCCATGTCATGCAAGTCCAACTTAAGCATGAATTATCCAAGTTGAGTTAAAAAGGATGACACCAATTGAATCTGGACAAAAGTCTAGCTAGGAAAATACCATTTTTATAAAATTCGACTGTCTGCAAGTAGTATAGATTGTTCAATTTGGGCACTAACAACTCCTTATTGCTGGCTTCGTCACTCCTCATATATAGTTTCCACTAGCTAATTTAGTGCAAGGCTGCTATGTTTCTTAATGTGCGCATGCAGGTGTTTTATAATGTATTGCACGTTTAACAGTTTTTCCTTTTTAGGTTCTTCCACCATCTTTACTTTTTTTTCCTTTCCAAGCCAAACATGTATTGAAGAAGTCCACTCAGATAGAGCACTTATAACAAGATTGCATTCTGGTACTTCAAAGTTGGTAAAAACTTACCTGCATTGAATGTTTATACCAAGTCAATACTAGAATGAACTTAATCAAAATCCCTGAGCATGGTTTAATAAACTTTTTATCCATCACTTTGAAAAAATTGAATTGGTACAAAAAGGCAATATATTCATTCATTCATTAAGGGAGAGATAAAGATAATAAAACCATGAACGAAGAAAGATATGATTAGAAAAAAAGCATATTGGCTAGTGACTATGAGGTTTCATTTTTGACTTGAGGGGCACCAAAGGCCTATGTATTTTGTCCTTTGGATAGATAGATAGGCCATATCTTTTTATTTTTTATGTTGTCAAAACAATGAAATAGAGGGTGATCGAGTTGAATTGATGAGTTTTTGAAGGAACAAGGTTCAAGTCTACCGATTTATTAGAATACCTCAGCCGTATATATAGAGTATTGCACTTCCACTTGACACCTAACACCTATCGTAATAATAGACATCAGCTTAACATGTTCAGCAATTACTTGGCTACCCAACGTTATTACTGTGGGCACGATAACTGGTACACTAGAGGTGTGTCTTTCATCAAGTACGTCATATGATTTGATGGTATTAAATAATTTTCTTAAGGGGTATGCCAAAATTCTAAATAACTAGAGCAAGTAGGAATCTGTACTACCAAACAAATCTATGAATTACATTTCCCTCGCAGAAGTAGTCAACTTGTGAAGTATTTTATTTCTATCAGTTTGCTCAGTTTCAAAGGGATGCCTCATCCTGAACTCACATATACTACTTTATCTTTGTAAAGAGAAGCTGATATTTTTAAAAGAATTATATGGATTAGTACCAAACTTAACTGAAAGGGACATCGTTATTCTTAGTGGCTCTGCCACTCTCTACTCTGTACTGAGCATGAGTTTGTGTTTGCTTATAAATAACACCTACTACTTACTCCTGATGTTATAACGAAAAAGAGCAATGTTTACTGCATCTGCAATCATGAACATGAAAAACCATATGTTTTTAACTTACCCTTTGCTTTGCTTCTTGTTTCTCAGTTCCTTTGTGAATGGCCAGCTTGATTACAAATACTACGATACCACTTGTCCCAACCTCACAAAAATCGTTAGAAATGGTGTCTGGTCTGCTATTTCTAATGACACCAGAATGCCTGCTTCTCTTTTGCGCCTGCACTTCCATGACTGTTTTGTCAATGTATACACATGAAATCTTTTTATGTCCGTTCTTAGTGTAACAACAAATTAAGAACATAGCATTAGTGCCAGTTAATCTAATTTTTTAACGATGTATGTTTTGTAGGGATGCGACGGGTCAATTCTGCTTGATGATACGAGTACATTCACAGGAGAGAAGAATGCATTTCCTAATCGAAATTCAGCCAGAGGATATGAAGTCATTGATGCAATAAAAGCTAATGTGGAGAAAGCTTGTCCATCTACAGTTTCATGTACTGATATATTGACTCTAGCAGCTAGAGAAGCTATTTATCTTGTAAGAATTTTTTTCTTGTCAAAGGGCTTTCAGATTCCTTATCTATATAATTATATACTTTGCCTCTCATCAAATTGTTTGATACGGCTACCGTGTAATCGATCTAACTTGTTTTGTCGAATGTTTTCAGACTAGAGGACCCTTTTGGTCAGTGTGCTTGGGACGTCGAGATAGTCTTACTGCAAGTCAGAGTGCAGCTAATGATCAGCTTCCATCACCTTTCGAGCCCTTAGTAAACATTACTGCGAAATTTGTTTCTAAGGGTCTTGATGTAAAAGATGTAGTGGTGCTTTCAGGTACCTGAACCTAAACCAACATGCAACTTTTCTTTTTGTTACTAATTCCTACTAAAAGAGCCTTGTGGTTTCCCTCTCATGCTAATTTCACGTACTTTATCCATTATAACAGTAAAGTCAATTATTTGATGCAGGTGCCCACACCATTGGATTTGCTCAATGTTTCACGTTCAAGCGAAGGTTATTTGATTTTGATGGATCAGGCAATCCTGATCCTACACTAGATTCATCATTGCTAGGCAGTCTACGAAGCGTATGCCCTAACCAGAGCGATTCAGATTCTAACTTGGCTCCTCTGGATGCAGTCACAATTAACAGGTTTGACAATGTATATTTCAAGAACCTAATGAACAATTCAGGGCTTCTTGAGTCAGATCAAGCACTCATGAATGACAATACGACTGCTGCACTGGTGTCAAACTACAGCAGAAATCCGTCTCTTTTCTCCAAGGAGTTCGCCGCATCAATGGTAAAGCTGATCAATATAGGTGTGCTAACAGGACAAAATGGAGAGATCAGAAAGAACTGTAGGGTGGTGAATTAGAAAGTTCCAGTATATTGCGACATAATTAGCTCTGCTAGCTAATTACATATTATCAATGCATGTTTGATGTAGTATAAGAAATCATCTTGGATCTAGTTGAAAGTAATTCACTGTCACATTTTTATTTTTATTTGGAACTAAGTTATTTGGCGTAGATCCATTAAGCAAAGTTTCTTCTTGTCTAATAGTAAAAATGTTAGTTATATATGGCTTCCACAGAGATTTTTTTTTTTTTCACAATCATGTCTAGTGATTTTGCTTGTATCTCATAGTCGCTTATATTCCAACTTAGTGGCTATATTTTTCAGCTCATGTTCTCTATTATTTTCAGCTCAAAAATTAAGAAAATGAATTGATGAAACCCTTTATTCATTAACAAACTGAACACTATATAGTGATAATGACACAAAATAAGCCAAATTATTGTGCTACTTACTAGAACCTTGCTTATAGCTGAGGTGGAAAGTTGGGTCAACAGATAAGGAGAAACGTCAATGAAAAAGATTATAAAAAAAATGATAAGAGTAAAGTATGTAAAGTAAATATCAGAATATTGAAAGATTTTGATCTTCTTTCTATATAAGTACAGTAAATATTTTGCACTCATCCAACCAAACAATCTTTTGCCCCTCCATCTCCTTTCAATAATCCAAAATTCCCATAAACAAAACCTTCATCTTGTGAGAGAGAGATAATAGAGATGGATACACCACAGGTAGAGACCATGGACATCTCCGGCAAAAGTTATACCCCAATTGAAGATGAGCAGGATAAAACAGTTGACCAGTGGTAATTTTGTTTCCCTTGTTGCCCTGTTTTCTCCGACTATTTCTGTTGGTATTTTCTTACTGTTTTGATTAGACGTTTGGTTTACCTCTTTGATCTTTTGGTTGTGTTTCTGCAGTTGTTCTTGCTTTTACGACTGTATTGATAGCTTGTTGAACTACTTGTGCTGCTATGATTTCTGGCGTGCTTAGGGATACACATCATATAACTACTCTGGTAGTCTTATTTTTCCCAAAAGGGAACTTGTTAGATGAACCAGTTATGTTCTTTCGCTTTTGCACTGCTTAGATCAAAGTTATTTATCCATCTTATATTGTAATTAAAGTTCTAATGAGAATTTGAGATGGTCAATATCTTCTTCATTATCGTCTTTTTCCAATTAATTATATGGCTATGCTCCATAAGATAGTGTGTTCAACTAAAACCCCAAATATTGTTTTATGACCAATTTTGATATTCAAAGAGGCCATAGTAGAAGGGAAAAAAACCTTACATAAAAGCATGTTGAGACTCTGTATCAATAGACTCTTTTGTTCTAACCCTTCTCAAGACCCGTGCATAGCAGGAACTTTTGTGCATTGAGCTGACCTTAACGAGGCATCGGTTCTTTTAGCACTTTTTTTCTGATAAGATAAGGAGTGTTGGGACCGGTAGAGTGGTAAAAGCTTCAGTTGCGAGGCTCAATTGATAATAATGGAGGAAATCAGAAACCTGAGAGTCGAAGAATGGTCAGGAATTCTCTTGGATTAGTTTTAAAGTTGGTCAAATTTACTTTTCCATTAATTTTTGACTTCTGAAAGTGTTTGATAAATATAAAAAATAATTTAAAATAAATTAGGAAGGACTTGACAAGATAAAAAAAATAACTTAAAATAAGTCAAAAATCTAAAGTCATTTCAGTTTGACTCTTATTTTTTATTTAATTTTTTTTTTTTTTTAAGCCAATCCAAACGGCTCTTAGTAATGTTGATATGTACCTCCATTGGAATTTTTGCCAAAAGTTGTTCCCTCTCACTGTTTGTGGAGCCCTATACAAATATATTCTTTCATTCCCTCTCACAGTTTGTGGAGCGGTATACAAATATATTCTTCCATTAATATCATTTAGGCATCTGTATCAACACGATTGATTCGAATTCACGATAAAAGGCTGCTATGAAAGTGCGAACCTGAAAATATAGCAAGATTATGTTGGTGATTTTTATCGAAAACGTCACTGGAGAATACGTTTGCATGGCGTTATTAGTTCTTCACGCTTTTAAGAACGTAGTCTTCAATGATATGAGAGACCGTCACATTTTGCATGCCACCAAAATAACCGCTCCTAATAAATTATATTCATGTTGAGGCATGTTTTCTTTAAAGAGATTTAAGTTCATGGATTACTTATAAAGTTAATATCTCAGACGGTCACTCAACTTTGAGTTGTTCACTTAAAAATTCACTTAACTTTGAGTTGTTCACTTAGAAAGTTACTTAAGCCTTAGCTTTGCTTGGTAACTCAAAAGCCACTCAACTATTGGTGTTTCTCTTAGAAAGTTATCCAACTATTGATATTTCACTTAGAAACTCACCAAATCAATTAAAATAATATTTCATTAAAATTTATTTTAAACTAATTTTTTTTTAAATAATAAGATATCTATTTTAATTATATTATTGATCCGCCTCAACTATTTAATTATAATTTTTCTGATAAAACGTACAACAATTGATCCAAAAAAAAAAAACTTTTCCGTTCTAGTAATTGTATGACTGGAATTAAAAATGTTAAAAAATTATCTAAAAAAAATAGGAGGTTGGAATCGGCAAGAAGTAGTAATTAAGAAGTAATAAGAAAAGCACTCAGTAGCAGTCTTTTACTATTTTAAAAAAAAATATAAAAAAATAGGTAAAAACAAAAACTATATTTCAACAAAATTCAATAAAATAATTAAAATAAACATCTTATTACTTTTTAAAAAAAATAGTTTAATTATTTTTTTGTATCTTTACAAAATTTAATGAAAAAATTATTTAAATTGATTGAGTGATTTTTAAGTGAAATATCAATAGTTTGGTGACTTTCTAAGTAAAACATCAATAGTTGAGTGACTTTTGAGTTATAAAACAAAGTTGAGTGACTTTCTAAGTGAACAATTCAAAGTTGAGTGACTTTTTGAGTGAACTATTCAAAGTTGAGTAACCATGTGAGATATTCACTCATTACTTTTGTGGTACTTGGAGAAAAAAGATAGATTAATCTCACTGTAACCTTATGAAACTCAACCCCTCAAGTAATACACTCCCTCAATTTATTTTTACTTATATATTATATTAGAAGTAAATTTTAATTTTACTTGTCCACTTTAATATATCAAAAGAAAGATAATACGGATATCATACTAAAATATAGACTTTATGTAGTATTTCTGAAAGAAGTGTAAAATTCATTGCGAACAACTGAAAGTGAAGGAGTGTCATATTATATGTGACATTATAGGACTATAGGCAAGAGGCTTGGGGTTGTGGACAATATGTGTAGCATGGATTAAGTATACGAATGTACAAATGTTTAAGACTTATAGGGACATGACATAGACTTGAAATTTTATTCCGTCTAAATTAATAACTAGCAGATTGCAAAAAAGTATAATCCAGAAAAAAAATAATAGTACAAAAACACATTATAACAAACTGGCAAAGTGACCACTGGACCTTTTTATTGAAACAACAACATCGATCAGGCAGCAATAAAGTCTTATGGTTTTGGTTTTAAACTTTTATTCAGTACACCAGCTCCAAATCTCTTTTAAATTTGAAATACGTTTGGTGTCCAAAAAAAGGAAATTTATGTCCAAATCAAAGGACAACACTAATAACTTTTTTTTTTTCTAAAAAAGTATTATAAAAAACTATGCGTCTAATCGTGTGCCGGGACACCAATACGTATATTTGGTGTTTGGGCTTCTCAGTGGACTATCACATTGTACTGTAGTCTGTAGTTGACTTGTATGGCCGGAGTTAGGTAAGGTGGAGGATTCATCCAAACTTTCCTCGTGGAAAATTATAATATTTATATATGGTTACAATTTTTTTTTTTTATGTAGATATTGAATCTTCTTTTGGCGTTTTTTTATGTATACTTCTTCCTATTTTGAACGTCTAATGAAAATTTTGGCTCTGCGTTGACTTCAAACGAAGATGATATGAATAAAATGCATTTTAGTCTTTTAAAAAAAAAAGATATATGAGACAAGACAACTGTAATTTAATTAAGGCCAAATCCATCGGTAGCTTTCTAAAGTTGACACAAAATTTCACTTAGATACTTTAACTAGGTGATGTTCATTTCAGACACTTCATATAGAATTTCGGTGTCACTTTAATAATGTTAGCTGACATGTCATGGTGAGTATAATGCACTCAAAATTAGCGCGTAAAGGGGCTCTTATCAGGCCAAATAAATTATATTTAAAAGGCCAAAACTATTCCTCTTCCTCATTCTTTCCTCCACCACACACCATCCATTCACCACTGCCACCATCGCTATTAATACAATCGAATTAATTTCTTAATTTTGTCAGATCCGAAGATCACCACAACCATCGTCATCTTCTCATTCTTATTCTTTAGATCCAACAATTACAACTATTATTGCAATCTTTCATGTTCAGTGCTACACACCATTGTATATCTATCACATCAAGCAAGTTCATAGATACAGATATTCATTTTGGAGGCATTGTAATATTGATACACAATTAAAAAGCATGAAATTGATAACATACAAATTAAATCTACAACAAAAAAAATGAAAATCTGATTTTAATAACATTCCCAAAAAGAAAAAAAGTAAAAGAAGAAATTAGAGGTAAAGAGGAGGTGCCGGAAAAGTTTGGAAGAATGAGGAAGAAGATGTGGGATAGTTTGGTGGAGTTTTAGAAAATAAATACTTTTATTTATTATTTTTGGTTGAAAATTATTTTTTCCTTACAGTGTAATTTTAAAGTATTATTTTGTACTTAAATATCATGTGTCTCTCCTTAATTAGTCATTATATTATGTTAGGCTTAAGTTGTCTGCATATTTTACTTGAATACCTTAACTGAGATTTGTACCTATTGAACACCTATAGAATATTGAATTTATACCACTTGAGCATTTTTTGCCTACCTGACACTTTGAGTGTGATTCACCGCTGATGAGCGCGTGGAAACATAAAATCAGACATTTTTTAAATTAAAAAAATGTATTTCTTCTTCCTTGCGTTGGTTACCACCACTTTCTCCGACTGTTGCCATCGTCGTTGCCATCATACACCTTTCTTCTTCTTTCATTTTTTTCTAGCCACTTCAATTCCTTAACCATTGATCAGAGTTGCCATTATCGCCGCCAGCACATTCGTTTCTTTCTCTTCATTTAAGCAATCACCATCATCTCTGCCATTAACGCCGCCGCCTAGCCCTTTTTTTCTTTAGATCTAGAATCGTTTAGTCGTGACTTGGTCGCGTTTTTCTTCTTCTTTTAATCTAGGACTGAATCTTTCTCGAGTTATAGAAGTAAGCAAAGTTACAACTTTGCAATTTAAACAACACCACCATTTCTACAATTAATGTTCCGATCTATGAAACATTATTTTACTCTCAAAATTTATTTCTTTTTTAATAATTTTTTAATCTAAATCTTTCATAGTTGATTTACAATGTTATTGTTAAAGTTTTTTTTTTGTTTACTTTTGAGTCTCAATATTCTGCCATTGTTCACCGGCGAAATGGTGTGATGGACCTTTATACTTATATGCATTTGTATTCTGAATTGTTCTACTTGACATTTTGTCAATTGAACCCTTAAACTCAATTAAAATGATATTTTTAAACCCCTCGAACCATGTGTGGAGCTCACTCTCTCTTACACAAATGACATGTCATATCCACGTCAGATACAATAATTCCATGTCATAATTATTTCATAAATATTTTTAAATTATTAACCAAAAATGTTAATCCATAAAGGACAAAAATAATAAATCTTCTATTGACAAAAATAAAATAAAATAGTTATTTCTCTCACCTTTCCCCCACCTCCCTCAATCCACAACCACCATTAACACCATCTCCATTAACCTTTTTTTTCCCTTCTTCATGTCCGATTTTTGTCTATAGTTATGACCATGCTTTTCAAGTTCTTAAAAATCATAATTCAATTTTTTCTCGAAGTTTCTAACATTCATAACTCTTAATTAGCCAACGTTTACATCATCCATTTGAACCAACATAAATTTCTTTTCTCCATTAATATCAATAAATCACCATTAAAATATCACGATAGATCACAATATTTGTACACAATTTTACATAATACATTTCATCTAATTTCACAAAGA